ATATATATGTATATGTATGTATGTATGTATGTATGTATGTATGTGACTGAGTGGTAAGTGGTGCTGATGTTGTGTTTCAGGGTGAAGCACAGATGATGAAAGATGGGAAGCTGTTCCGAGTGATTCATGAAAACTGCTGGGATGCAAACGCTCGCATACGGGACATGAATAAACATGGTGAGTTTGTGTGTGTATTTGTGTGTGTGTGGGGGGGGAGCGGAGGGGAGTGCAGGGCTAGCACAATCCTCATCATTATACTGTACTTTGTTTTATGACACACAAGTTCAGCATTAAGTGAAAAGTCTTGACCTGATGCACCAGGATAAAGTGATAACATAAGAGTCAACACATCTTAAGGATTTTTGACAAAGCAAAGGAGAGTAAACTGTTAATAATGAATAAGATTTTTTTAATGACTTGTAGTAGCAGCAAACTCCATTTTATTTTCAATGTTCAATATATCACTCAGCTGAAGTGTTGAAAGTGTTCACAGATGCTACTTTAAACTATAAAATTACTTCAAATTACTAATAAAATCTGGCTTTGAGGTTCTGACTTTTAAATTCTTTATTTGAATTGTTTGAGCAATTTAACACTTGCAGCTTTTATTATTTTAAACCAGTATTGTTGTATTACTTTATGAAGCCTAAAGTGAGCAAAGCTTGAAAAAATACATTAATTAACCAACAACTTCTTTGTTTGCTTTTATTAACATCCATCCATCCATTATCTTTACCCGTTTATTCCATTTTGGGTCACGGGGATCGCTGGTGCCCATGTCCAGCAATCACTGTGCGAGGGGCGGGGTACACCCTGGACGGGTCGCAAGTCCATCACAGGGCCACATAGAGACAAACGAGACAAACAACCATTCACTCTCTCACTCACACCTAGGGACAATTTAGAGTTACCAATCAGCCTAACATGCATGTTTTTGGTCTGTGGGAGGAAACCGGAGTACCCGGAGAAAACCCATGCATGCACGGAGAGAACATGCAAACTCCACTCAGAAAGGCCCCTGGACCGGGGTTTGAACCAGGGACCTGCTCGCTGAGAGGCAGCAGCTCTACCAGTTGCGCCACCGTGCTGCCCGCTTTTATTAACAATGAAATTTTAAACTTTTTTTTTTTTTTTTACTATAAAATCAATTTAATTAACAACAGTGTACCACAAGGCTCAGTCTTAAGACCCACCCTTTTCACAATCTACATAAATAATGTAGGTCAGATCATTCCTGGCACCTCCTAACACTCCTGTGCTGATGATACAGTTGTTGATTGTCGACCTAAAACAGTTGCTAAGATTTTCCAACCTTTACAGTCTGCTTTTGACATCATCCAGTCAGATTTGTTCCTCCTCAAACTTGTGCTAAACAATGATGAAACCAAAGGGGTGTGGTTTTCAAAGAGGAAGTCGGTCCCAACAGTCTTTCCTTCTATTTTAATTTAGAATGGTGTTCCTATTGAGTTTGTGGATTCTTACAAATACTTGGATATTTTGGTCGATTCGCATCTCTCCTTTAAGCCCCCTGTTGAAAACTTGATAAAGAAACTAAAAGTTGAATTTGAGTTTCTTTTTCAGAAAAATATCCTGTTCAATTCTGAATGCTAGGAAACACCTTGCAACAGCAACTTTCCTCCCCTCCATTGACTACGGTGACATTATTTACATGAACGCCCCTACAAGCACCTGGCAGATGTTGGACACTGTTTATCATGGTGCGCTAAGATTCATAACTGGCTGTAACTACTGTACCCACCACTGCACCCTGTATTCAGTGGTTAACTGGTCATCATTAACTTCACACAGACTCTCCCAATGGTGCATTTTCATCTTTAAATCACTTCTTGGTCTGTTGCCTTCATACATCTCCTCCTACATGACACTTCGTGAGTGCAGCTACAGCGTGCGCTTTCAGGACATTATTACCTGCAGTGTTTCCTCAGTGAGGACTTAACTAGGCAAAGGGGCCTTCTCCTACCCGCTCCTGTTTCCTGGAATATCTTGCAAAAAGATCTGAAGCTCTCAACCTTGACCTCTTTTAGTGTATTTAAACATCAGCTAAGTTCCCGGGGAAAAGAAAGAACGCAGACATGTTCCTGTTTTTAGTTTTCTGCATCACTTTACAACGTAGCTGTTTTTGTTTTATTTTTTTTTATATCATTTTCTTTCATTTATTTTTCCTAATTTTTACGCTTTCTTATCTGCAGGCGTCACAGTCCAGGCCCTCTCCACTGTTCCTGTGATGTTCAGTTATTGGGTCAGCGCTCACACTCTTAAAGCAAATTTAATCTGAAATTAAACTGACATTGTGCTTTAATCAGTTAAACACAACCACACAATGAAGATATTAAATTTTACATTTGTATAAAAAAAAAAGCAAATTGTACCAGGATGTGTAATCATATTTATAACTTTTATTTGTCGAATTCCTACTAGTTTTAACAGTTTCTAACTGCAGGCCAAATCTCATGACACGCTGGATCTCTGCAACCTTTTGAATAATGATTTGGCCCAGACGGTGCGCAGCCACCCCAGGAGGTTTGTGGGTTTGGGCACGCTGCCCATGCAGGCCCCTGACCTGGCCGTGTTGGAAATGACGCGCTGCGTGAAGGAGCTGGGCTTCCCTGGAGTGCAGATCGGATCACACGTCAATAACTGGGACCTCAATGCATCAGATCTCTTTCCTTTTTATGCTGTGAGATATTGCACAACATCAGCACATATCAGTAATTACACGTGCACGTCTGATTCTTTAAAGCTCGTGGCATCTCAGTGAAAAACTGTTTGTGTAATTTTTGAAGAAATGCTGATTTATGTGTTGTCCATGCAGGCAGCTGAGGAGCTGGGCTGCTCCATATTTGTGCACCCGTGGGATATGCCGACAGATGGGAGGATGGCTAAGTATTGGCTACCCTGGCTGGTGGGTGAGGGAGCAGGAACAGAAGATATTGATCCTATGAAAGAAGCTAAAATAACAGCAATACCACAGCCGAACTGATGACGCTTCGCAAATCAAATCACAATCAATCCATTTCTTTGACTTTCATTTCTATTTCCTTTTAACTATAAGTACACAAATGTCTCAATAATGGAAACTACAGTATGTTTCTTATAACTTTATTTTGTCTTTTCCATCCAAAGGTATGCCAACAGAGACAACCATGGCCATTTGCTCGATGATATTTGGAGGCATATTTGAGAGATTTCCCAAACTGAAAGTCTGCTTTGCTCATGGAGGTACAGGAGAGATCAAAATTTTGCTCTGAATCAGTAAAGCATATCAAAATAAGCCAGAGTGTAGGCCTTTAATGCCTTTGTTCATCTGTTTGCAGGAGGTTCTTTTCCATTCACTGTAGGCAGAATTGAACATGGCCACAAAGTCCGTCCTGACCTGTGCGCGGTCGACAATAGCATCAGCCCAAAGAAATACCTCGGTTCTTTCTACACCGATTCCTTGGTCCATGACCCGATCTCCCTGAAGCTGCTCATTGATGTCATTGGAAAAGTGCGCTGGAATTTGTAATTTAATAAACACGTGTGTCAGATTTTATAGTGAACAAGGAAGGCTACTATTAGGAGATTTGTTGATTTTGGATGCAATATTGGGTTCAACAGTATTGGGTTCAGCAATATTGGGTTCAACA